TTTCCCTCTCTGGTGAAATGAAAGTAAATAAAATTAAATAAAATAATTCTTTAAAAAAAATTGCTATGATGGGCCATGTTGTAGTCCAGCACCTTAACCACTGCGCCACCTACTGGCCCCAATAAGTGCACTTTTAAAGTTAGACGGTTTAGGGAGACAGAAAAATGGGTACCCTCAACAGGGTCTTCATGCTACAGTCCTCCCTGCAAGCCTCAGCCAGTCAGGATCACAGGCACACACGTGTGGCCAGCATGAATACCTCCGGTCATGAACCCAGGACTGTCCCATATGGCTTCAGCATCATGGAGCATTAGTGCTACCACTGCACCACTACAGCTGGCCTATTTTTTTTAAATGTAAAATCTTATTATTAGCTTAAAATCCATCCTCTGGAAGGGCACAGGTCATTGGATTTTAGTATATGCACAGGTATGCAACTATAACCACTAAGTCCAGAACATTTTTATCATTCACACACCTATGTCTATTAGCCTTCCCCTAACTTCTACTCCTGGGCCCTGGCAACCACTAATCGATGAATTTGCCTGTTCTGAATATTTAAAATGAATATAGTGATAAAGTATGTGGCTTTTTGTGATTATTTTGTTTTATAAAAAAAAAGACTTATTTGCTTAACTTTATTTATTATTATTACTTTTTAAAATTTACTTTAGGTCATGTGTGCTCACCAGAGACAGACAGACAGAGAGAGAAGGAAAAGTGAGACCAAGCCACCAGGTCCAAGACCTCAGTCGGCCATGTAGTAGTCTAGTGCCCTAATCACCATGGCACCTGCTGGCCCAGTAATTGTTTTTTTAACATAATCTTTTTTTCCTTTTTAATATACATTTACTTTATGTCATTATTATTATTTTATTATTCTTAGCATAATATTCTTTTTAAAAAATAATTATTTATTAAATTTTATTTATTCATTTATTTTTAATTTGACAGAGAGAGACAGAGAGAGAATTGAGTAAGCAAACCGGCAGGTCCGAGACTCAAACCGTGGTCGGCCATGTGGGAGTGTCCAGTGCCGTAACCACCATGCTACCTGCTGGTCCCCATAACATAATATTCTTTTAAGAGGGTTTAGTCTTAGGGCGCATGTACTGGGAAGAGAGAGAAAGAGACAGACACAGTGCGAGGGAAAGTGAAAAAAATCACCCTTTATGGGGGATGATCACACCAAAATCCTTTCTCCTCCATCTGCTTCCGGGATCTTGGCACGCACACATATGCACCTAGCATAGATTTCAAGCCACTGGGTCCAGGACTCAAACCACGGTAGGCCATGTGGGAATCCAGTGACGTAACTGCTACGCCATCTGCTAGTCCCTTAACATAATATTTTTAAGGTTCATTTATTTCCAGATAATAAGGCATTGTAAGGATTGTGTTTATCCATTCTTCAGTTGATGGACATTTGGATTGTTTCACTTTTTGACTATTGTGAATAATGCTGTGAATATTAATGTACATTTCTATGTGGGTATATTTTTATTTTTCTTGGGTATATACGCAGGAGTAGAACGGATAGGTCATATAACTCTATACTTAACTTTTTGAAGATCTGCCAAATTGTATTCCAAAGCAGCCGCAACATTTTACATTTGCATCAACAACATACAAAGGTTGCTATTTTTCCACATTTTTTCCAACACATGATTGTCTTTTTTATTATAATCATCCTAGTGGTTATGAAGTGATATCTCATTGTTGCATTAACTTGCATTTCTTTCGTGACTAATAATATTAAGCTACTTTTCACATACTTGTTAGCCTTTTGTGTTCTTTAAAGGAATGTCTATTTTTTTAAAATATTTATTTAAGTTTATTTTATTTATTCATTCATTTATATTTAATTTGATCAGAGACACACACAACACAGAGAGAGAGAGAGAGAAAGTGAGAAAGCAAGCCGCCAGGTCCAGGACTTGAACCGTGGTCAGCCATGTGGGAGTGTCCAGCACCTTAACCCACCACAGCACCCGCTGGTCCCCAAGGAATGTCTATTTAGATCATTTTTGTTAGAATTTTTTTTTCCTTTTTATTGTTGAGTTATGAGTTCCTTTTTTTATAAATGTATACTCATCTCTTTTTTTTTAACATTATTCATTTATTTATTTAAATTTGACCAGAGAAGGAGAGAGTGAGAGAGAGAGAAAGGGAAAGTGAGAAAGCAAGCCACCAGGTCCGTGATTCGAACCAGGGTCGACCATGGTTAAGGCAGTCCAGCACCCTTAACCACCACACCACCTGCTGGTCCCATTTTTGTAAAGGTTTTTGCTTTAGAGCACGTGCATTCACTGGAGAGAGAGACAGACAGACAGTGAGAGGGAAAGTAAGAAGTCACTCCGCAGGGAAGATGACCATGCCGCAATCACTTTTCCTCCATTCTCCTCCTAGGATCTTGGCGCACATAACACACCCACCGTGAATTTCCAGCTACCAGGTCCAGGACTCTAACCACTGTCGTTCACATGGGAGTCCAGTGACATAACTGTTACACCATCTGTTGGCCCTGTAAGAGTTCTTTATATGGGGGCTAATGGATAGTGTGATGATTGAGACACTGGAGCTCACATGGCCAACTGTAGTTCGAGTCCCAGACTCAGCGGCTTAAAATTGCACTGTGCATGCGTGCATGTGTGCCCAAGATCCCAAGAGGAGAATGGAGGAGAAGGGATTGTGGTGTGGCCATTACCCCTGGGGGGTGATTTCTTGCTTTCTGTCTCTCCGTCTCTCTCTGTCTTTCTGGCAAGCGCATGCACCCTATAGCAAAAAAAAAAAAAAAAAAAAGTTATTTATAAGTTCTGGATATTAGATGCTTATGAGATGTATTTATGTGTATTGGGAGGCCAGTAGATGACATGGTGGTCGAAGTGCTGGACTCTTACATGGCCGAATGCAATTCGAGTCCCAGATCTCATCTTGCTTTCTCTGTCTCTCTCTCTCTCTCTCTGGTGAACACATTTGCCTATAGTAAATTAAAATAATAATAATGAATAAATAATTCCTTTTTTAAAAAGAGCTATGTATGTGTGTATTTTTAATTTATAGATCATATATGTCATATATCTGCAAATTATTTTCTCTTCACATATTATTTTTAATATTTTAATTAGTATCAGGAAGAAATTCAAGAACTTAATGAAGTTGCAAGACATCGGCCACGTTCAACATTAGTTATGGGAATCCAGCAAGAAAACAGACAAATAAGAGAACTGCAACAAGAAAACAAAGGCAAGATTCATTATCACTATGTTTAGCAAATTAAAAGAGAATTTTAACCTTTAATTATATTGTTGATTTTAGACCAATTAATATTTTCAAAAATGGGAAAATAACCAAATAAAGTTATTTTTTGACACCCCATTACATTCTTTCTTTTTATTTTTTAAGAGGTTTTTGCCTTAGGGCACATACATTCACTGGAGAAAGAGAAAGTGAGAAATCACCCGCCAGGGGGATGGCCACATCGCAGTCCCTTCTCCATTCTCCTCCCAGGATCTTGGGCATGTAGGCACATACACTCAGTGTGGATTTCAAGCCACCAGGTCCAGGACTCAAACCACGGTCAGCCATCTGGGAGTCCAGCAATGTAACTACTACGCTATCTGCTGATCCTGACATTAATCCCATTTCTAAAGTGATTTTAACAGTAATCCCATTTTTTAAATTTATTTATTTATTTTTAAAGTTGTTACAGGGCATGTGTGCTCACAAGAGAGAGACAGGGGTTGGGGGGACAAATGTGAGAAAGCAAAAAGTCCATATCCAGGACTCAAACTCCATTCATCCATGTGAGAGTCCAGCACCTTAACCATCATTCCACCTGCTGGCCCCCAATAATCCTATTTCTGTGCCTAATTCGTAGTTACTGTTCTTTATCCCATTCTACATATGAATATCTGCATTACTTGGCTACATCTTATTTTTCTCACCCTCATTACTCAGTTCATGCCATTGCTGGTACCTATCTATGATAACTTAGCTTCGTTCTCTGCGGTTCATTCTTGCTGCTTTGGTACCCAGCTTAGGTGCTTATAGTCTCTTGCCTAAACTTTCCTAACTGGTCTTCCTGACTCCCTCCCTAGTTCTTTTTCAACATAAGCATCAGGTTGACTTTTCAAAAATAAATCTGGGGCCACCTGTAGGACATTGTGGTAAAGGCAGGTGGATCCCACATTGCTGACTGCATGGTTCAAGTTCTAGACTAAGCAACTTGGAAAACGTGCCAAGCATGTGTACACGTGTGCCCAAAAATCCCAAAAAAGAAACGGAGAAAGGACTGTTGTGACCGTTCCCCATGGGAGGTGCTTGCGCGTGTGCACTCCCCCTTCCCCCACCCCTATCCCCCATCGCTTATGCCCTTTGGCAAAAATTGTAGCACTCTTAAAAAATTTTAAATTATGGGAGCCAGCAGGTGGCATGGTGGTTAAGGCACTAGATTCCCATATGGCCGACCATGGTTTGAGTCCCAGACCTCCTGGTGGCTTGCTTTCTCAATCCCCTACCCCTCTCTGGTCAAATAATAATAATAATAAAATTGAATAAATTAATTCATTTTTAAAAATTAAAAAGAGAAAATCTGGGGCCAGTTCTATGGCACAGCAGTGAAACACTGCTCAAGAGAGCCAGATACCCCATAGCAACACTGTTCGAATCCCCTGAATCAGCAGGCATGCACACCAGTGCCCCAGATCCTATAGGCTGGAAGAGAGAGCTTGCAGCTTGACCAGACCCTGCAGAGAGCGCTCCTCCCTTTCTCTCTCACATACTCGCTCATGTGCATGTGTGTGCTATCATGAATAAGGAAAAAAAATTTAACAGAAAAAATAAATCTGATGTTACTCTTTCTTAAAAACTTTCATTTTATCCTTATACAAGGACCTTCATAATCAGTTATCAGATATCTTTTCTTTTCCCTATAGCTCTCTTTTCTTTCCATTTCTCTTTGTCTTCTCTTACCATCTCTCTCTCCTTGCTATCCCAAACCAGTTCCTACATACATCATGCACTTTCACGCCTCCCTGCTTAGAACGCACATTCTTTCATTTTCAACTCAGGGAACTCGAGTTCATCTCAATACTATACTTCTGTAAAGCGTTCACCAGTTTCTCCCTAGGTACTTCTCATAACTTATTTGAGTAGCACCACTCTACATTTAGCATGTATTTGCTTTCTCCACTAGACTCTTGAGTTCTATGGCTTTTAGTGTTAATTTAGAGAGAGCGTTGTCTGATATTTTATTGCTGTTTAGTAAACATAGAAATGATTCCCAAAAACTAGTTTAAAAATAGCTATTTAATAAACCACTAAGGGATTCCATGTCCTTCATAGTTATGTGGCTTGATTTTTGTCCATCATGTTTTTTTCTTAAAATATCCTGTTTATCAATTGCTTTTGTATTGTTGGGTTGTTTTTTTTTTTTGATAAGTGCTATGTAAGAGAATATTTTGCATACCTTTAACTCAAGTTTAAATAAAATGCACTGTTATTCTTGATAGAATTACGAACATCACTGGAAGAACATCAGTCTGCCTTGGAACTTATAATGAGCAAGTATCGAGAACAAATGTTTAGATTGCTAATGGCTAGCAAAAAAGATGATCCTGGTATAATAATGAAGTTAAAAGAGCAGCACTCCAAGGTAATCCATTCTGTGAATATGACTTGAAATGGAAAAGAGGGGTGATTGATTAACTTGTGTTCAGATTTAAAAAAGATCACAGATATCTAATAATACCACGTTAAAATTTAATACTTCATCTCTTAAATAGTATTTTCTGTTTCTCCTTATTTTTTCATTTGTTTGTTATATATTATTTTCTGTTTGATTTACTCTAATTCCCATTGTTCCCTAGTAACTTTAATACATATGTTCAAAAATAAACTGTATTTTGGAATTTAAAGGTAAGTCTGTTAAATTCAAAAGTATTTTTGTATGGTTATCTTTTTTACTTTTCCTTTTTCTGCTATAGGGCTCATGCACTCACCAGAGAGATATAGAGAGAGGACAGAGGGGAGTGAGAAATCACCCTGCAGGGGAATGAATGGTCATGCCATAATCCCTTCTCCTCCATTCTCCTTTTGGGATTTTGGGCATGCATGCATACACACCTGGCATGCCTTTCAAGCCGCTGGGTCTGGAACTCGAACTGCAAACTTAGCCATGTGAGATCTAACACCTTAACCTCCATAATACCTGCTGGCTCTGGTTATCCACTTTGAAAAAAATATTTCTTCTAACAAAAAAGTGGTATTTATTGCAAAATCAAAAACTGAAATGCTGAAAACTTTTTATAATCTGAAAGCAGCTAAACAGATTTATTTTTCTTATAACTATTGATATTGTGTAGTCAGAAAGGTCTTGATGTATTTTTTTCTGTTTTTCTATGCAAGAATATGTCATCACTTTTCCAACAACCCAGTATTTCTTAAATGAGGCTAACCTAACCAGGGTATAAATGAACCTAATTATAGTAGAGAAACTATAGGGTTGGGGAGAGGAAAATAACCAACATATTAAAATTTTGCTTCTTTCCCTCAGTGTTGTGTACTAGTTAACAATTTCCTGGACACAAAGCCAAAGTAGTTGAAAATCAGTGGGTTTTTCCTGCTGTTCATCTTATTTGTCATCCAGTGTTTGTTCCCTTTGGTGTCTCCACATATTTGCTGGCAGCTACTGTGAAGAGCTGCTGGCAGCAAGTAGAAGAGTCCTTTCCCGTTTTCTTGTTTGGTTTTTTTGAAGAGGTTTTTGCAGTAGGGTGCATGCGCCCACCAGAAAGACAAAGACAGAAAGCGAGAACCCCCCCCCCCCGGGGGGGGGGTGGCCCCACCGCAAACTCTTCTCCATTCTCCTCCATCTCTTCTCCATTCTCCTCTCGGGATCTTGGGCGCACACACACCCAGCGTGAGTTTAAGCCACCAGGTCCGGGATTCGAACCGTGGTCAACTATGTGGGAGTCCAGTGCCATAGCCATTATATTAACTGCCGGTCTCTAAAATTGAGTTTTTAACTGCTGATGTGAAATTAAAATGTTAGGTTGTGAAAAGAAAGCCACTGTCTACATTTGATAATGGCGAGCTGTTATAAGTTGTTACTAATTCATGATTTAAGAAATAGTGATTGCTGTATGACAGTTGTCAGTTTTTGAAACACATTTTAGATTGCTTAAAATATTTCTTCCATTTTCGTGCTTGTAAGTGTTTTAAACTGTTACTTAATTCTATTAGAATTAAATAATAGTTAATTTGTGTGAGAACTTTGCATATTAGGAAACTTAATAAAAGGTACCTCTTGTATCTTCTAGTTAACAATAAATAAATTTGAATTTAATATTATCTAATTATGCTATTCATCTCCTAACCAAGTGGAAATCCTTGGATAATCTGGTAGTCTTATTGGTAAGATACATGTAATCTTGAGAAATTCCAAAAGGCCCTTATGTTTTATCACCTAAATAATAAAAATTTGAAGACCTAAAGGGAAGAAGACTGACTAAAGAAGGGCTTAGACGAAGATACCTTACTGTTCCATCTGGTAGCAACTAGGACAGATGCAAATCTTTTCTAAAACATAAGATTTTACCATCCACCAGAGCTGGTTTATTAATTGGCATAAACATTTTCTAAAAGAGCTGAAAAAAATAATTTTGCTTTATATGAATTGAATTCTTCATCTGATTGTCTATCGTTGTCTTCCATAAAATGACTATTCAGTTACTTGTTATTAATTCCAACTAATACATATTAATGTTTGTGATTTTGATTTTTCCCAAAAAGGAGACAATTAAACAAACACTTATTAACACTTGCATTGGGTTAGTTACTGTAGGTAACAGTAAGATGAGTGAATGAGTGAATTACATTACCATGTAAGCTTGCAGTGTGATGGAAGATACAGACATAAACATAAATACCCAGTGTAGGGTGTGATAAATTCTAAAACATTAATAGAAACATGAATTGTTATAGGAATACTAAAGGGGACAATATTAGTTCTCCTCAGGAGACTCTGGAAAGATATCAAGGACAGGAAGAAAATCTATTTGAATCCAATTTGCAGTTAATTCCAGGAGCAGCTGAAGAAGCAGAAATGAGTAAGCAGAGACACTTGCCATGGTAAAGTCTCAGAAGGATTGGATCCTAGGGTTGTTTCGGGACCAGAGCTCTGAGGTACCTACACACAAAAACATTGGTCATCAGCAAAGTCATAACACATTTTTTGCACAGAAAAATACATCATGACTTTTCTGACGACCCAGTAACTTCATAGAGTCACACATAATAGTGTTTTGGAGTAAAAGACCCTTTCAAGACCTTTGTAATATAAGACTTTGTCCTCTCCAAGAAGCTTTTGGGCTTTTTAAAAATCAGTAGAAAGTTTAAGAACTCACTTTCATACAAATACTGATTTTTACATTATTTTGAAAAGATGCCTTTTTGGAAATTTTAAAAAAACAAACATTTCAAACAGTTGGCTAACACGCATGAACTAACACTCATTCAGTTTTTGAATTACGGATAATATCCGTATTAACATTATAATGACTCTGTACTACAGATTGACATGGTACACCGTAACAAGTCCGAAGGATTCTCCCTTGCTGCATCTCGACACATCCTTGAAGCACCTCAACATGGACTGGAGAGGAGGCACTTGGAAGCAAATCAGAATGTACACTAAATAAAACAGTCACCTTGGGGTGTGGATGGAAGGGGAGTCCATTTAAAAAGTTCTCTACACTGAATTTCCCTCCCAGAGTAGATCAGCAAGTAGATGAAATCAATGAAAATAATACTGTGCTATGTTAGTCAGTGTAGAAAGTTTAAATCTGCCATTAATTCTCTGTGTATTGTGTCATACACAAGTCCGTTGGATAATTGCAGGTTTTAAATGCTGCCTAGCCCAGCTTTTCATGTGTTTGTCCTTGTTAGCTATTGCTACAGTGTTTGTTCCTATAAAACATTCTCTTTCTGGGCATCAAAAGATATTTTTCCTGGAATTAACTTTAACCTGGTCTCATAACAATTTTGGTCAAACTCTTAATTCAGATATTTTGATAGCTTTTAGCCCTTTAGTTTGAATTCACAAATAAAATAAAAATACCTTTGTTCAGATGTTATGATTGAGTATAGTAGTTTTCTTTCCATTGTATCTTAAATTAAAATATGTGAATTTTTTTTGTATAAATATACATATTTATGATTTTTAGCTCAGCCATGACAGGTTTTTATTGAGTAAAGTAAAAATAAAACTAGACAAAAATTAGAAATGGAACCATTTAAAGATTATGTTGCTGATATTCTTTGCCTTCAATACAGTTTTCAGAACACAGATCTTACCTCTTGTGCCCCATTAAAAATCTACATCTTTCTAAAGGTTTTTTAAATTAATAAATGAATCATTAACTGGGTCTATAAAAATGCTGTTTTTTTTTTTTTTTAAGTATTGGATTTTTTTTTCTCCTGATGATTTTAGAACAGATTCTGACCTGAAAAAATTAATAGTATCTGGCTTTCTTCTATTTTAAAGGCAAAACATTATTTTTAACCCAAGTCAGTGCCATACGATTGACCAGTTTTAAATTGAGAAAGCTTAGTTAGTAGCCAAAATTATAACTCTACCTTTATTTATTTACTGCCTCAGTTGGAAATTTGCTTTAAAATATGGTCCCTTGACCGTAGGAGGGATTTTAATGATTTGTAACTGCTACAGACTATGACAAGTATTCGTACTGGTGTTATTCTTGCTTTCTAATTCAGGGCTGTCCAATAGAATCTTCCGAAATAAAGGAAGTGCTCGTCATCTGTGCTGTGCCGTGTAGGAGCCACAAGCCACCATATGATTATTGAACATGGGCAGGCTCCCCTGTGCAGCTGAGAGCCTGAACTGCTGATTTTTAAAAATATACTTGATTTTAATGAAACTGCATAACTGGACAGCACAGTCAAGTGCTTCATCATGCCTTCTTCCCGAGGACTAGCATTTTGCAGGTTTCACTCTTTAAACAATATAAAGACCTGAGACTTTGATTAAGAAGATACTAAATGTGGTTTGCCAAAAATACTTCAGTTTTTTTCCTCCATCATTTCTTCCCTTTTACTCATTTTGTGGACTCTGGAGTATCCTGTTGAAATCCTTTATACAAAGAAAGAGTATATACAGCTGTTTCAAAGACTTAAATGTTTATTTGGGAGTTACTTTTACATTTCAGATTTGGCTTTAATATAGTAATATAACCCTCGATTGTCAGTGGTTTCTGTTGATTTTTCCAACATTTCCCCCCCCACTATACTCTAAGCTCCTTCAGATCAGGGAACGTTTCTTATCAGGCTTTGATTTCTTATCCTGTCACCTAGCACAATGCGTGGTGCATTATAGGTGTGCAAAAAATATGGGAATGAGTTTGGAAGAATGTATACTACTTGCTGTACCTAACCAAAATGGATGTGTATTTTATACTAGAGTTACATTTTCAAAAGTTGGCAAATGCTATTCAATATCTTAATACTTAAAAGCAGAATTCTGTTCATTTAAGTTGATATTATATACCAAATTCTCAGTAATAGACAGATATGAACAAGATACAGTTCCTGTTCTCAGGAAAGATTGTGATCTAGAAAAGGTTCTAGTTGGATTGAAATCAATCTATATGAATGTCTAATACAGAAAAGATTTGTAAATCATGAAGACTTCAGAGAGAAAAAAAGACTGAATGCATTAACAGTTCTCTTCTTTCCTATTATTCTTTTTTTTTTAAAGGTTTTTGCTATAGGGTGCGTGCATTCGCCAGACATACAGACAGAGACAGAGAGACAGAAAGCGAGAAATCACCCCCCAGGGGAGATGGCCACGCCACAATCCCTTCTCCTCTCAGGATCTTGGGCACGCACACACACGCGCCCGGTGTGAGTTTTAAGCCACCGGGTCCGGGACATGAACCGCAGTCAACTACATGGGAGTCCAGCGACATAGCCATTACGCTAACTGCTGGTCCTATCTTTCCTATTATTTTGACCAGTAGTATATGTAGTTGAAAAAAAGAAAAAGTTACTGATGATTGTGGTGACAGGAATCTGAAAAACGAGTACTTCTTTTGTTACTGGGTTTAGTTGTATAGAGCTGCTTTTCCTTAATTATAGTCCTAACACAAATCTGATTTTAAAAGTACATTTATGTTCCACCAAATTTGTCGTGATTATCTGTTTACTACATTCATGCTAAGTGGCAATGCAGATTTTATTAAAAGGAGAGATCCAGAAATAAAAGTAATAAAGCATTTCATTCATTTTGGACGCTCATCTTTTTTTTTTTTTTCAGGAATTACAAGCACATGTTGACCAGATAACTGAAATGGCAGCAGTTATGAGAAAAGCCATTGAAATTGATGAACAACAAGGTTGCAAGGAACAGGAACGAATATTTCAACTTGAAGTAAGTTCAGTAGCACATGCACTGAATTGCAAATGTTGGTGGAAAATGTGCAAAGATTGGTGCCAGATAGATCCTATAAAATATATCCTATTTAAAATATGTATATAGTTTGTGAAAAATGGAAGTATGAGTTTATTCTGGTATAAAAAAGTTGAGGTCTATGCATATTTTGAAATCCATGGATAGTGTTTTCAAGATACAGATTTTCCATGAACTTCTCGGAGATCCCACGTGTACTTTTTCTGGTACACCAGAAATGTTCCTTTTCTTAATCTAGATGTTGGTTATATGGGTGTATAATGCAAAAATATAACCAGTAATTAAGAAAATTGATTTTTGATTCTATATTCATCATCTTACTAGGTGGATATACTTCTTTTTTTTTTTTTTGGAGAGGTTTTTCGCTACAGGGTGTGTGCGCTCGCCAGACAGACAGAGAGAGACCTAGAGACAGAAAGTGAGAAATCACCCCCCAGGGGGGATGGCCACACCGCAATCCCTTCTCCTCCATTCTCTTCTCAGGATCTTGGGCAGGCACGCACACGTGCCCGGCATGAATTTTAAGCCACCGGGTCCGGGACGTGAACCGCAGTCGACTATGTGGGAGTCCAGCAACATAGCCATTACATCAACTGCTGGTTCCCGAGGTGGATATACTTCTTCAACGTAGTCATTCTTTTAGAATATGTTCATTCTAGAAGAGATCACGTGCAGGGGAATATTTTTTTAATCCACAAATAGTATTTTGGGGCATTCTTGTTTTTCTGTGGACCGACTGTAAAAGCCTTTATTTCAGCTGTTATTTTGTCGCAAAAGTACAAGTCATTGTTGAATAACTCAGATTAGTAGAATGGAATGTCATACCTTATGCTTCATTTTGAAATCATGGTGGGAAAATTGATCATAGAGAACCAAAAATGACTTCTCTTGAGTTTACAGTGTTCCCTCATTCATATAACAGGAGTTGGCAAACTTTTTCAGTAAAGGATCAGAGAGCAAATGTTTCAGACTTTGCAAATTAGACAGTTTGCATCTATTCAGCTTTGCTATTGTGATGCAAAAGTAGCCATAAGATTATGCAGGGATGTGTTCTGATAAAACATGCCTCTGTCCAGACCATACTTTGCCAATCCCTGCTTTATACCTTGAAACTAAGAAAGTGAGGCTAGGAACCAGCAAATGGCATAATGGTTACAACACTGGACTCCCACATGGCCAATCACAGTTCGAGTCCTGGACTCATGGCTTAGAACTCACACTGGGAGTGCGTGCCAGTGTGCCCAAGATCCTGGGAGGAAAACAGAAGAGAAGGGATTACAGCATGGTGACCCCCCTCTTGGGGGGTGATTTCTCACTTTCTCTCTCACTCTCTCTGTCTCCGGTGAGTGTACATGCCCTAAGGCAAAAGTCCCTACAAAAAAGAAGAAAGTGAGACTGAAGACAAAGTAGTAGAGAATAAATCATGAAGATTATTTTTAATCACCTACATGTGTCTTACAGTGACTAATCTGAGGAAAAGAAAGACAAAGTTGTTTACCATGCCAGATTTGGTCATTTACTTTCCTCTTCGAAAAACAGTTATATAATAATCTTTTCAGCCAGCCCTGCTGCTCTCAAATTCCAGTGAGGCAAGTACATCCAGATGGTCTGTCCTACATTTCATGCTATCATGGAAAATAATGAAGTATTAAAGTCCTAAGAGCTTTTAGTCCCATGGTACACTGCCTTTACGAGTTTATGTAAACATAAATATAGATGTTATTTTCTTCATCGCTAATGTGTTGTAAAATAAGGCAGCTTCTTTTCCATCTACGATTACAGCTACATAAATAAGAAGGCTTTACAGTAGTGGAAGAGGTTGAACATGAGTCCTATTTCTTTAAAGAAAAGTGTTTTATAGGGACCAGCAGTAGGTGGTGTGGTTAAGGCACTAGACTTCCACATGGCTGATGCGATTCTAGTTCTGGACTGGGTGGCTTGAAAATCATACCAGGTGTGTGTGCGTGCGTACCCAAAATCCCAAGAGGAGAATGGGGAAGAAAGGGTTGTGACATGGCCATCCCCGCAAGGTGATTTTCTCACTTTCCCTCTCACTGTCCATGACTCTCTGGCAAGCATACACATCCTGTGGCAAAAAGCCTAATTTTTAAAAAAGTGTTTTTAGATTCAAGTTGTCAACTGCATTTAGTACAATTATGCCAGTTACAGGCACTTTTTTTATTATTATTGTTATACCTTCACATGGTTGGCTTTTCTTAATACATTACATCTGTGTACCTACCTTGTACCTAGATGTGAGTGCATCTTTGTTTTTTCTTCCCTTCTTACAGCAAGAAAACAAAGGCTTGAGAGAGATCCTGCAGATAACTCGAGAATCATTTTTGAACCTTAGGAAAGATGATGCATCAGAAAGTACATCTTTGTCAGCGTTAGTGACCAGTAGTGACCTGAGCCTGAGGAAGAGCTGAAAACTTCCAAGTCTGTGAGCTACTTATTACATGGGTCCAAGTGGCCACCAGGACTGACCTATAATGAATGAATGAATGAATGAACAGAAAACTCAAATCTCAGTCAACCCTTTATTTTATTTTGTTTTATATAATATATATATAGTACACTGGCTAAGAGCAACAAAAAAATGCACAGTCAATGGTTGCAGACTTTATTCCAAAACATAATTGAGAAGTGGAAACTGAGCCATTGTTAATTGGTGAAAAATGAAAGGTTTTCACAGTGACTGCTGTCAGCAGTGTTGTGGGATTTCTGAATGATACTTAGAGAAACTTGAATATTTCCAGTAAATGTTTGGTAATTCTTAGAATTATCCTAATTTTAAAAATATAAACTTTTACCACAGTTTTGTGAATGGAAGATTAGACTAAATGTAATCCTTCCTGTTTGGTGTCAAAGTTAAGTAGCTTTAAGTACCATGAGACTTTAGCTTTAGTGATTGCCTGTTTACTTTCCCATTTCAATTTTTGTCAAAGAAAATTCAGTTTTAAAGGATATAGGAAAGCTTTATATGCACTATAAACAGATGGGGACATTTTATTTTAACTAATTTACCATAACTGATAGTAGCTAACAGATGTATACTTTGCTTCCATGTAGGAAATATTTCAGGAATGAAAGAGAAGGAATACTACTTTCTAAGAAAGAAGATCTTATAATAGACATGTTTAGTAGGTTAAACTACTCCTTTGAAAGAATTAAGTTTTGGTTCTAAGTCAATAATGAAGATGAGATTTTTCTCTTCTTTGGTTGGTTTTCAAGGATATGGTTATTTAGCTTACAGTGTTGAAATATTTTATATAGCAAGATAGGTATGGTAATTTCAAAGTACATTGGAAATTCAGCTCACAGAACCTTTTTTTTTTAAATTCTCGAGATATAGAAAAAAATAAAATTTCAAGAAAAAATTTGTGGGTCTATTTTTAAGCTCCATCTGGTCCTCATAACTGGTAAGATTTTTCTTAGAACCTTTGAGTTGAAAGGGCATGAAGGGGGAACCTATGGATTTAGAAGTATTTGTTCTCTTTATTTTTAAACTATCAGATATACTGTATGTAAATTTTTTAAAAGTCACCAGATACAGAAATGTGCTTTAACATCAATTGAAACCTAAATTTATATTTTGTGGTGATTAGAGAATAAAAGGATGAATGTCAAATATGACTAAATATATTAAACTCATTTATATTTAATACATATGAAAAATTAGCACAAGTAGAAAATGCTACTTTTGAGTATATAATTTGTTAAATATTACCTCACATGGAAATTTTTATGTATAATTACATATGTTGGTGAAATTCAAAACTACTTTTCACTTCTGAATTTTTCTATCTTAAGTTTAGGGTGGGTGGGGTAGATCGGGCTGATTGAATAAAAAAGGGCTACTGGCCCAAACATTAAACAGATTTCTTTTCTCATTCAGAGGCCTTAATTGATATTATAAATGAGTGAGTTTTTATTTTTAAACTTTTCTATTTTGGGGGGGAGGAGTACTCTTAATTTAATGGCACATTCATTCGGTTTATATCCCAAGTAAGAATTTAAGAATGAAAATAAGCTACATAGTTAAAATTAAGTCTGAGGCAATTCACTGAGGCAGCTCTGTTACAAAACATTACTTGACAAATTATTATTTTTGTAATCAAATAAGCTGAGTTATTTATTCCTAGTCTTCCTTGTATATAATTTTAAGGTCTTGGTTTTTGAATTCACTTTGTTAGTGACAGTTGTCCACCCTTTTTTTTTTTAAACAGAACTTAAATTTATGTCTGAGAGTATGTACTGCATAGGAGCCTATTTTATCAATAAAGATGAGTGATTAAAACTGATACAGTCATCAGTTTAATTTGAAAACAATGCTTACATCATTTCTTTTTTCTTTTTAAGGGCGGGTTGTGGGGGCTGGTGGGTCTTGCCATGTTGTGACCCTCTTGTCCCGTCTTCCCAGTTAGCTAGGTCCACATGCTGAGCTGCCTGGCCTGTCGAGGTTGAGCCAGGAACCAAACCGGGCCTTGCCGGTGGCCCCAGCCACTACAAGCAGTACCTGTCCACCTGCACCATTGATGCTGGACCGATTTCTGCCTATAGTTTTCTTTAAGGCCTTTGGTCTCTTCATACCACAAAACTACTTAGCCATATCCTCTACCTGTATTTGTTAGGCATTGGCCAGCAACTTCTTTATTTTTTTAATTTGCCAGAGGGCACATGTGCTTGCCAAAGAGGGGAAGAGAGTGTAAGAAAGCATGCCCCAATCCCTTCTCCTCCCTTCTCCCTCCTTTGGGGATTTTGGGAGTGTGCACATGTGCAGCTGGCATGTCTTTCAAGCCATATAGTTGGCCATGTGGGAGCCAACATCCTTAACCATCAGACTATGGGCTGTTCCAACCATTTTTGTTTTGTTTTGTTTTGTTTTTTAATGTATTTATTCCATGAGCTACAGAGAAAGCACCTGAAACAGAATTCTTGACACCACAATCTACCCACGCATGTCCAGCATACCCAGAGGAATATGAATCCAGAGCCCTCCCCTGTGCATCAGCCTGACACTGCCCTACGGTCCGGCCCCACAGCAACTTCTTAATTGTTGGTCCTGCAAATTTTTCTCATCTGTAGCAGGTTGACTAATGTCCCCAGCAGAGGTAACTTCTAGTGCTAATCTATTATATCTGGGAATGTGATCATATTTGGAGATAAGATCTTTGTAGATGTAATTAAGTATCTCAGGATAAGAACATCCTAGATTGGGGGTCCAGCAGATGGTTAAGGCACTGAACACTCCCACATGGCCAGCCACAGTTGGAGTCCCGGATCTGGTGGCTTGCTTTCTCACTTTTCCTCTCTCTCTCTCTCTGTCTCTGGTCAAATAAAATGGATGAATGAATAAACAAAATTGAATAATTTTTTAAAAATTAATTAAGAAAAAAGAACATCCTAGATTGGGCCAACTGATGGCTTGGTGGTTATGCCAGCCAGATCCCACATGGCTAACTGCATGGTTCAAATCCCAGACCTGTTGACTTGAGAAACACACCATGTGCATTTATGGCCAAGAGGAGAGTGGAGGGAAAAGGGTTGCCATGTAGTCATCCCCCTAGGGAATGCTTCCTCACTTTCCCTTTCTCCTAGGCAAGTGCGTGCACCCTATAGCAGAAAAAAAGTTTTAAAAGGAAAAGAACACACTCGATTTAGGATGGGCCTTAACAAAAAAGCTAGTAATGAACTAGCCCCAATTCCTAGTGTTATAGGGAGTCTCCTCCATGGCTGACCATGGTTTGACTCCCTGCCCCAGTGGCTAAAAAACACTCCAGGTTATGTGTGCCCAAAATCCCAACAGGGTGGAAAAATGGAGATGAAATTGTGGTCTCACCATGTCCCCTTTGGGGTTACTTTCTCCCTCTGTTTTGCAAGGGCATGCAACCTCCGGCAGATAAATAAAGATAGATAACTTGATCTCTGGAGTCCTTTTCAGTTCTAATATTCTAACAGTTCTTTGTTAGAATTAGTTTTCATCCCACATTGTACAGAAAATTTAACTGGCTTATAGTACTACTTAGCTAGTGTGGTTTGACAACCTGGTAATTTATAACAAATGAATCGGAACTTTTTGAAAACATCTAAAGAACAGTTTAATGGATTTTCTGACAATGCTACTACTTTTCTTTAGTTTTGACAGGAAATGTGAATAGCACCAACACAAATTAATCCATTGGAATGAATCAGCTTTCCTTTTAACAAAGAATTTTTTAACACACTGCCCCAGATTTCCTTCATTTCCTAATATTTCAATTATCCTTAGACTTTTTTAAATAAAGAACTAAATTGTTCAGGTAATTTTTTATAGCTATGAAACTAATCTCTCATGTCTCATTGTACGAGTATAATCAGTAAAAAATTTCTGTAAGATTCCAATAATTAGGCATTTTATAATTTTTTTCAAAATAGGTATTTATTATAAAAATTATACAAATTGGCTTTTTATTACTCACAAATTATGAAAAACTTTAAACAATTTTTATCCTTCCTCCAAAAAACATGTTCTGTTTTTACATTTTCACTGGCAGTGCATTCTAATGGTATAGCAATAACTCAAAAACATTCCACATACTTTTGTTAGAATATACAAAGATATGGTAGATGCCAAAGTCCTTACAGTAAATTATAAAACACTTTTTTATATCAAATTTAAATGCTGACTATCAAAGTTATAGACAATAAGAATAAATAGTAAATGGACACCAGCATTGAGGTTTTCAAAGCAAACATGATTCATGTTATATTTTTTTTTAATCTTTCTGAAAACACTTTTAAAGGCTAAAGTTGAGATTTTTTCTGTTAACTAAAACTTGGAAACTGTGATATTTTGGAAAAAAACTAGAAAGCAGCATCATTTAAACAGTGGTTAATTCACAAATGTGTATGCAACAAACATAACCAACCTCAGTGTCACTTGAGTCTACCAGAGTCACCAGTTCCCAGTACAACACAGGGTGACAAGAGAAAAGGCTGTGAGCAGCAGGGTGTGGCCCAGGGCCCTGCAGAGCTTTCCTGTGGTGAAACAAGGGTGTCAAACTGAGGACTGACATACAAAACCCAAGGCCTACTTAACTCCCTTATCCCTTTAAAACACAGATGGTAGAAAAGCTTCATTTGGAATACAAAATTACTAAAAATTGTATTTTACACCAATATTAACATTGCTAATTTAACATAACCATGAAGTGCACATTTTTTTTTAAAGATTTTGTTAATGGAACTGTAGATTAAGGTCAATTTGTTTCCTAAAACAAAACATAATCCACATATCGTCTAATTCAGTTAATTAAAGCTCATCAATAAATACTATTTCCAAAGTCCTTGAAAGGAAAAAAAAATAATAAGGCCACTATTTAGAATATAACTAAATCATTTACATAAACATTCCATTTTTCTATATAAAGTGATTTATTTTCAAATACTTGAAATGATTTTGCTATTACCATTTTAAGCAATGAAAGGCACAAAGGAAACCTGAATTGTTAATAAAATGGGAAAGTTTGTATTTAGGAAATTTAATTTTTTTTAATTAAAATTCTGGGAAAATAAAAGGTACCTTTTTGATAATGTTTGATATTAAGACATGGAACTAAGTCATCAGACTGCTTTTAGTAAGAAAAGTTACTTATCTTTTTTGTATTCTGAAGTTCAGAGGCACCCGGTATCAGATAACTGTATCTCCAAACATGGTAGCAAATAAAGATCGAGCATAACATTTAAATAACCTCCTCCTCCCCAAGTGAGAATTGTGCAAGGAGTTATAAAAAGCAACACCAGGGCTTTGCAAGAGACTCACTGTTTTTTACATTTTTTTTTTTTAGCATATCTATCTAATGGAGAAAGTTGTCATATATTCATAAACCTAAACAAAATTTCTTAAGTATCTGGAAATAAAGGAGAAGCCTCTCTACCAACAACATTTGATCCTTTCTCATTCTACCACTGAGAACTACCCTAATTCCCTAGCACCCCCACACCATATACCAATAAGACCACCACAGCATCGTGCAGAGCACAGATCCCTTAGACTCACACCCGGCAACTGGACAAAAAACACCAATGCTGCGGCACAGGGACCAAGCTCTGGCCATCTACAGAAGCAGGGGTGTCCTCTCTCCAGTTGGTTGTTCTTTCCGGAATAGCTCTTTGATCTGGGTCAACCGGCCATAGAGCCTCTCTCTCAAGGGAGGAATGTGGTAGCTCGGGTCCAGAATGTTTGTTACTCTGCGCTCTCTCTCTTGCTTCCACAACTTGTATGGGTGGGGAGGGAAAAACTGTCGCCCTCTTTCTCTTCGAATCTGAAATGAAATTCCACTTACAGCCAGCATCCCCCATACTGCCAGGACAATAAAGTCTGGAAACAGCAGAAAAGCACAGTTTAAACTCTTACATTTGAAAGCCTAACATACAGTAATACGTAACCCCTCACGGACTGAATCTCATATCAGACATTCTAGTGGTGAGTTAGGCCAAACAACCTAATAGATTTTCTCACTTACCATCAGAGGAATGAGTGGGGAAGCTACAGCATTATTTTTGAAACTAGGAATGTTTTATTACAAATACCTGAAAGTCCAAACAGGTTATAAAGAATCTGTTGTTTGAGTCCTTGGCATTCTGACATTACATATGTGACCAGTGTCTACAGGTAAGTTGTGTGTTTTCCTCAAGGGAGTTGGAGGAAGAAGATGGTGACCTAGTTATATTTCACATATGCACATCGTCCAACCACAGTCTACCATGCTCACCTCTCCCATCCCATGCTGTGTGGAGCCCTACCCTAGTCACGTAGAGTGGGTCTGGAAATGCATGAAGAAATCCAGTGAATGGTACTGAGCTTCTAATAAAAGGTTGGACAAAACACTGTTTTATACTTAAAACTTCCAAGGCACATGGACTTCAAGATCTCTCCCAACACTTCTCATTCAAAGGGAAAGCTCTGGACAATAGGGGGAAAGATATGTTCTAAAAATGTCTTAATAATCACAACTGTGCTTATGCAATATACCTTCAATTCTAAGACATGCTTTCCCATTTTCCATATTTTAACATTTCTGAAATCAACATAATATTGTGGCCATTTTTCCTTCTTTGAAAAGTTAATGGTGGCCCCTCCTCATTGGCACAGGCAGTAGAGCACCACTGCATGATGCTGGAGCCACACAGAACGCCTGGGTTAAGACCCTGGGTCAACCTGAACTTGTCGGCCACACCTGTGGATCCTGGACAGTTAGGAGTCTTGGGGGAGGATCTCAGTGTGGCAAGACCCTGTTGAGGATACTTGTTTCTTTCTCCCTCTCTCTCGCTCTCATGAAAGAAAAAAATAACAAATAACAAACGGGACCATCAGAGGGTGTAATGGACTAAATTCTCATGTAGTCAACTGCAGTTCAGTCCTGGAACCGGTGAGTTAAAACGCAGGCCGGGTGCGTGTACATGCGTGCATGCCGAAAATCCTGAGAGAAGAATGGAGGAGAAGGGATTGCAGTGTGGCCATCCCCTCTGGGAGGTGATTTCTCGCTTTCTGTCTTTCTCTGTCTCTCTGGCAAGCACAGGCGCCCTATACCAAAAATCTCTCTTTAAAAAAAAAAAAAAAAAAAAAAAACAGGACCAGCAGTTGGCTATGACGTTGGACTCCCATACAGTTGACCCCGGACCCAGTGGCTTAAACTGGGCGCATGTGCATGCGTGCTCGCCCAAGATCCCGAGAGGAGAATGGAGGAGAAGGGATTGCAGTGTGGCCATCTTCATCTTCCCTGGAGGGTGATTTCTCATTTTCTGTCTCTCTGTCTCTTTCTGGCAAGCGCATGCACCCTGTATCAAAAACCTCTTCCCCCCAAAAAATAACGATAAATAAATATAAAAAATAACAAAATGTTAATGGAAAATCTATAATAGAATATTACAGTGGAGGAAATAATACACTTAATAACTGAAATCACTTTTGCTTTCACCTAGCAAGCTGCATGCTTTATTGGAGGGAAACAAGGAAATAACTTAAAACTCATTCCACCCCCAACCAGGAGGTATCAGACACCTTCACCATCAGCATTATTCTCTCAACTGAGGATTGATCAGGCAAACCTAAGTAATCCTGCCTTACAAAAGGCTTAATAAAGCTCTGTAACAGATTTTTAGAAGCATACATCGTAATTGCTTAACATTTTAATTCTTCGTTCCCACCATCAGTATCACGAACAGGGGTTTTCATAGCAATTGAATGGTGTGTTTCTTGTCCCAGCTGACTCTTTGATCTAGTTACTAAGTACTCGTGTTAGCATAGGTTGGTCAATTCTCCTGTATTTTTCATCTTATTTATTTTTTCCATGAGAAAAAGAGAAAAAACACCTCCAACAGGGTCCTCATACCACAATCAACCTGCAGCCTCAGCCAGCCCAGAGCAAGAGACAAGATGCTCCCAGAAACCTGGGAACACAATCCTGGGGCCCTCCCGCATGGTCCCAGCTGTACCACCACTGCCCCATCTGCCTCCCCTATAGTCCTGGTTGACTGTCCCTCTGGATTTCGGATTTAAGAGTCTTACCATTCGTTTGAAAAGGCACATTTGTGAGAGCTCCTTGGAAATCTGTGTTGAGTGCTCTCCGGAGTACATTGAAAGTGATGTAAGAAAGGCTCGTGTACAAGTAACTGTCAACCGCCAGAACCACCGAATAGGAGCCAATGATCCCACAAGTCAGTATGTTGAGCTGTGAAGGAGTGGGAAAGTTTAGACGCCATCCCTACTAGGCCCAGAATAGTTTCTAGAAAGCTCTCATCACTGACCTCAATCATAGTGAATTACTTCAGTCCCCTAAGGGCAATTGAAAAGTGACTAAGTCTTAGAGCTGAATAAAGGTTACCTGAAAAGATAAACTGAATACAACCCTGACATCTAAAGTGAGTTCTTAAAACAGTTTATCTTGGGATCAACAGTTAGCGTAATGGCTATGTCGCTGAACTCCCATGTAGCCAACCGCAGTTCAAGTCCTGGACCCGGTAACTTAAACACGCCAGGCGCATGTGCGTGCATGCCCAAGATCCTGAGAGAATGGAGGAGAAGGGATTGCAGCATGGCCATCCCCTCTGGGGGGGTGATTTCTGCTTTCTATCTCTCTGTCTCTCTCTTTCTGGCGAGTGCACGCACCCTATAGCAAAAACCTCTCAAAAAAAATAAAAAAGTTTATCTTATCAAAATACAAGAGGTTGCTGACACCAGCAGATGGTGCAATGATTACGTTACTGGACTCCCATGTACTCGACCTTGGATCAGGTCCCAGACCTGGCGCCTTGAAACTTAATGCTGGGCACATGTGCATGCATGCCCAAGATCTCAGGAGAATGGAGGGGAAAGGATTGTATCATGGCCACTCCTCCTGGAGGGTGATTTTTTGCTGTCTCTCAGTAAGGGGAGGAAGGAGGGAGGAACAAGCAGGTACACGCTGTGCATTTACTGGCCAGGTAATTTAGATGAGGCTGGGCTACCCCAAGCTCTTCCATTTCCTAGCTCTGTGACCTGGTTGAACTGTATTACCTCTGAGCTCTAAATCACCCCTCCTAGGTCTAAGTTTCTCTCTGTCTCGCTAGCAAGCACACATGCCCTATAGCAAAAATCTCTCTTAAGAAAAATATATATATATATGAGAGATTGTCAAAAAGTTAACAGAAAAGTCACATGTAAAAAAACAAAAAGCATGGATTTCAACATTTTTGTACCAACAGAAACTCACTTTAATTCCATTTTCCCACGAACTTTCTGAGGTCCCTTCATACTATGGAAAATATCTCCCCTATAAAAGAACTTTGACAATAAAATCGAATAAGATGAAGAATCATTTTTTCTGGAGAGACAGCTGAAGCTAAGAGCTGGAGCCAGCAGATTGGTGCATTAGAATAAGCCCTGCCTTCTCTGCTCCTACTGTTAAAAAGCATATTGACAGTGATCCTCCATCCGATGAAAAAAGAAGAAAAAACACTGTGACAGTCATAAATTGAACCCCCCTTTGCTTTCACAGAACAAGGCTACTTAGAAGCAGTCCTCAGGCAGATAATCATACAACTTTCCCTAGTAAATAAAACATGCAAAATGGTGCAATAGTAATTGCTGCAAGCCCAGGACAATATAATGAATGCATCTAACTTTTAATGAAATACTTACTATTCTTAGGCAACCCATGAAAACTATGGGAATGAGGACAGCTATACAAGAGAAAGTCACCCAGAATACACCATCATCACGAAAAACCTTTATGTTTCCTGAAAAAGCAAAGAGAAATAAAGACTAAACAACAGGTTCACCAAGTTATATTCCACTTACTCAGCATCTGAACACAGAAATACATTGAAGGTTTAAAGTAACAATCAGGGGACAAGTTGGCACCTAGAAATGAATTCTGATTTTCTTCCTTTAGCTGTCCCTTTGAAGGATGTGTGGGGGCAGTAGGGGGAGGAAGGAGGGAGGGACAAGCAGGTACACGCTGTGCATTTACTGGCCAGGTAGTTTAGAACAGGCTGGGCTACCCCAAGCTCTTCCATTTCCTAGCTCTGTGACTTGGTCGAACTGTATCATCTCTGAGCTCTAAATCACCCCTCCTAGGTCTAAGTTTCTAGGAGTTCGAGATTGTGTACTACAACATTTTTACGTCGAAAAAGGAAAGACAGCATTAAGCTTTGAACCCAATATAAATGGCAAAATCCACTTATCAGATTTTTACCATCAAAGCATACCCTGCCACACCTCTGCACACAGGAAGAGGTGATTTCTCATGCATGAGGAGTGATAGGAGATAACCACTCTCTGCTCCTACCAAACCCTTCTGATGCTGCTGGGCTCCAAAATATGGCACACCTTAGGGTGAACCAAAACAAATACATAACTCCTTGGGCCATGTACTGGTGTGGTGGTTAAGGTGACTGGATCCCACATGGTCAACTGTACAGTTTGAGTCCTGGACCCATTGGCTTGAAAAATAGACCTGGTATTGTGCATGCATAACCAAAATCCCAAAAGGAAAGAGAAATGGAGGTGAAGAGATGACAATGTGACTATGGTCCACTGGGGGGGGGGGGGGGCTTCTACTTTTTTTTCTCTTTCTCTCCAGAGAGTATACGTGCTCTCTGGCAAATAATAACAATAAAAAAGTAACTCCTCTTTATAAATTAAGTTTCAAAAGCAGGAATATAATCCTGACTGTGGGCAGCAGGTGGCGTGATGGTTAAGGGTGCTAGACTCCCGCAGGGATGACCCAAGTCCTGGACCTAGTGCCTGGCTTGCTTTTTCTCTTTCTCTCTCTCTCATGCTCATTCTTGCTATGTCCCTCTCAAATTAAAAGAAAGAAGGGAAGACAGAAGGAAAAAATAATTCTTTAAAAAAAAAGAAAAAAAAAAGAATATAATCCTGACTGTTATAATTCTGACACTGGCACCATCATTCGGTCCATATATAGATGGCCCCGATCTGAAAACTCACATGTCCTAGGCAAAGTGGGAGTCTGTAGGCCAGAGGATCTGACCTTGGGGCCCACATTCTCTGACGGGAGACTACAAGAATTTACAGAACACATTCTCTAGTTTAACTAAAGCAACCCTCACAAAATACACATGTGGGTTTTTAAAATTTATTTTATTTAATTGTATTTATTAATATCATTTTTAATTTTTTATAGGGCACATGGGATCACCAGAGAGAGAGAGGGGGAAAGTGAGAAAGCAAACCACCAGGTCCAGGACTCAAACTGTGGTCAGTCACATGAGCATCTAGCACCTTAACCACGAAGCTATCTACCGGCCCCCGCACGTGGCTTTTTAAAAAAGTCTCCTGGACTATCAGGCATAGTTGTTAAGACACTACACTGCCACGTGGATGACAACAGTTCGAGCCCCAGGTCTCGTAGCTTGCTTTCTCACTTTCTCTCTCTGGTGAGCACATGTGCCCTATAGCAAATCAAAATAATAATAATAATAAATAAAGTAATTTTTTTAAGTCTAAAGAAATATAGGACTGAAAACAGCAGTTTTGGGGCTGGCAGGTGGTGTAGTGGTTAAGGATGCTAGACTCCCACATGGCCAATAGCAGTTTGAGTTGTGGACCTGGCAGCTTGCTTCCTCTCTTTCTCTCTCCCCCTCTCTCTCTTCCTCTCCTTCCCCTCCCTGTTCCTCTTTCTTTCTCTCTCTCCTCCCCTCCCTCTCCCATCAAATTAAAAATAAGTAAATAAATAAAGTTAAATAAAATAATTTTTTAAAAAAACACAGCACATGGGCAGGTAAGGAATAGGTCCTTACAGAATATAAACCCTTTGCTACCCACATATGGTAGAAATATTAGTACTCTAACCAAATCTGAGCAGTCAGCCAAATCTTGTTTAAATTCTTTGAACAATTATTTTATTTAATTTATTATTTGTTTTAATATTTCCAGAGAGAGACACTGGGTGGGGGGAATGAGAAAGTAGCCTCCAGGTCCAAGACTTGAACCACAGTTGGCCATGTGGGAATCTAATGCCCTTATCCATCATGTCACCTGATGGCTCCAAATTTTAATGCTTAAATATAGGTGTAGGGCCTACTCCACAGCATGGTGATTAAGGAAGCCAGATACAACATGGCTAACTGTGTGGTTCAAATCCCAGACCCAACTGAAAAACCGTACCGGTGAGAGTGTACGCCTGCCCCAAATCCTGGAGGATGGAGAAGTGAAGGAACTGCAGCATGACCACACCCAACTGGGGGTGCTTTCTCCCTCTCCATCTGTCTGTCTCTCTCTGGTGAGAACATACACCCTCTAGCCAAAATACATAGGTAGTTGTACTTACTAGCATTAAGAAGATGCTCTAACTGTCCTGAGGTATAATAAGATAGTTTATGAATAAACATATATAAAGGGTATATGCAAAAATTATTTTTATCAAGAGAAGTAGTTAAAGTTCATCAAAAAGTTGAGAGACAACAACTCTTGACTACTTTTATAAAGATAAAACTAAGAGACCTTTCTCTTTATTTTTATAAAATCCCATAATATAGTTTACAGATGAGGAAACAAAACTTCAGTACCTTATAAGGTAGTGAGGGCACTAGTGACAGAGCCAGAATGCATATAGGATTTTTTGTGAATTTTTAAGCTATGCTCATTCTACTTACCCAAAGTACATTCACTACAAGAAATTCTAACCTATCTCTGTCCTCTAAGCATTAACAAAAAGTGGACAAGTCCACTAAGTAGGATTTGATTTAGCCTATCGAAGAGAGGGTCTCCAACCTGTATTTTAAACCACCACCCCACCTTGATCTGAATCTATCATTTAGCAAAATCTAAAGGACACTATTTTCCAACAGGCTATCTAGATAAAGTCCCCCTATTGGGAGCGAGTAGCAATACACTTAGCTACAGGCTTGCTAAAGTCAGAACATGGGGCCTGGGATAGTCAGTACATATGCAGGCTGTCAGTTATTTTTGGTCTCAAAGAAAACGTTAGAGAGCCAAGAGACACATGGATGGCATTCTCTGACTCCTTCATTCTCCAGAGTTGACAGCCTCCTGAGATAGTAGTTTTCTTTTTAATTTGCTAGAGGGCAAGTGTGCTCCCCCAGGAGAAAGAGAACAAAGGTGAGTAAAACAACCCCAGTTGGGGAACGGTCATGTCATCTCCTCCATTTTTCCTTGCAGGATTTTGGGCACGCATGTACACGTGCCTGGTGTGGGTTTTTTTTTTTTTTTCCCCAAGCCACCAAGTCTCAAACCCTGCAGCTGGCCATGTGGGATCCAGCATCCTTAACCAGCCTGGCTACCATCTGGCCAACAGCTGTTCTTACATCTAACATTTCCATTCATTTTAATCCAATATACTAATAACTAAACATTATCAGAGAAAGGAAGTAGCCTAATAGATTGGAATATGTGTGTGTGTGTGTGTGTGTGTGTGTGTGTGTATGTGTGATTTGGACAACAATCAGGAATTTTAAGTTGCTATACAACTGCAAAGAAAGTTAACTACAAACTGAACCAGATTTTTCACTCTGAAAGAAACTGAATTACTGGGGGGGGGGGGGGGGGGGATAAAAAAACTCACACGCACACACACAAAAACTTCACAACCATTCCTGTGCTGCTCCCTAGGGTGATCACAAAAGGTGGGAAGGTTTGGCTTTGGCAAAGGGTGGGCACAGGGGTTGAGAGGGCACAAGGGCATGAGAGAAGACCGGACAAGGCTGGTCAGGACTCAGCTGCCCTCACAGCAGCATCAGATTTACCTGTGAGATATGCGGGGCTTCTGCCTAAGATTCATTTTAAGGGGCCAGCAAGTGGCGTGGTGTTTGAGGTGCTGCACTCCCACATGGCCGACCATGGTTTAATTCCTCGGCCTGAGGCTTGCTTCTCATCTTCCCCCTCTCTGTCTCTCTTTGGTCAAATTAAAAAATGACAGTGATAAATAGTAAAATAAAATAAAATAATAAAATGCTTTAAAAAAAAAAGATTCATTTTAAGAAAGGGTTCCAAGATTTTATACAAAGTACCCACTGCTCTTCCGTATGCTGAGTCCCCTGTATTTCCATTAATCCTAGGAGATACCTATTCCCTTTTTATCATTACAAATAGACACGAAGCCACTTTATAACTCATCTAGCACAGCATACCGTAAAGGAAGGAGAAATCATTTGTATTGGCCAACTCTAAAAGTGCCTCATAATCAGTGCAGACTACCTGAACTCTACAGAAGACAGTGACAAGCGTCACCACTGCAGGGTCTAAATCCCTGACAAGGCAGTATGTGACTCCAGAGAACCCAAATCATGTCTCTCAAACAATGAATCAAACAGAAAAAATACCAGTCTGTACACGCCTCTTACCTAGTGGAGTGAAGAAAGCCACCGAAGAGATGAGGAAGCCCAGCACTAGTCCAACACACAGCATGCAGAGGAAGAGGGTTCCAAATCGCCACCAGGTAGCCACCAAGACAATTCCACCAGCGCTTCCAGCTACTGCAGTCAGAATCAGACGAACTGCACAAAAGGAGATGAACTATTGGGTCACTAGCAGCACTTCCGACCGTGTGCTTGAGATGCACAAAGTAATGACCAGAGCCAGCCTGAGCCCTCCTGCTGGTCAGGCACTGAGAGCTCTTCAGTGGTGCCTTGAGTGGCCCTCTTGAGGGTCTTGGTCTGAAACATGGAAACCACCAGGGGTTAAACCTCACAGGATTGTGACAGGCTTGACTGGTCAATAAATTGGAACTGAGGACAAAAATGTGATAAACCATTCTATTGGGAGTGTGTGTGTTTGGTGTTTGTTATGGTAAAGTCTTAACATTTGGATTGTTGTATATTTCCTATCTTCAGTATCTCACATAACTATATTGCAAGTTTATAATCGGCATAGCCTTTCACTAATTAATCACCATACAGATTAAAAACTCAACAGAGAAGGTCTGGATGAGTAGTTTAAAAAAAGATGTCTAGATGGGGCCAGCAGGTGGCATGGTGGTTATGCTGCTGGACTCCCACATGGTCAACTGGGGTTCAAGTCTTGGACCTGGTGGCTTGCTTTCCCCCTTTCTGTCTCTCTTTGGTCAAATTAACCAAATTAGAGCACAAGTGTCTATAATTTTACACACATAATAAGATATCACATACAATATAGATAGTACGATAGAATGAATGGTAGAATGTAAACAAAGCTCCTTCCATTTTCAATACCTTATATAATTACATAATTTTCACTTACCATCATACTTAATAGGTGTCAGTCTTGTAATCAGTATATAAAAGAAGAATCCCATGAAGATAAAGCCTATGAAGAATAATTCTAGTAGCAAACCACCAGGAAAGGGAAAAAATTAAAACAAAACTATGTTAGGTACTCTTTCTACAATGCAATTTAAATATCTGACCTACACATACATGGTTAAACTCCTAGAATTTATATATTATAGCATTTAGAAAGAAAAAAATTATCTAAAAAGCAGGAGAAATTAGTCATTGGGTATAATTATTATTATTAAATAAATATAATATTAAATTATTAACCATAGTACACACTTTCTTGTATAGAAGAAAATTTCAGTTATTAAATTACTGCTTGTAAATTTCATAGCTCATTTGAATACATTTATATTTTCTACTTAAAGCAAGAATGGTGCTGTTGTCACTCATGTCTGATCTGAAATTGCACATTAAATTTGAACAGTTACATAAGCAAAAACTTTTTAAAACACTATTCCAAAGCAAAATGTGACTTTCATATCTGCCTTAATTCATCCTTTCCTGTTTAGAACAAATAATCATTATCTTCCTCTTTTAAAATACCTGGTAATATGCTGCTGGACTCCCACATGGTCAACTGGGGTTCAAGTCTTGGACCTGGTGGCTTGCTTTCCCCCTTTCTGTCTCTCTTTGGTCAAATTAACCAAATTAGAGCACAAGTGTCTATAATTTTACACACATAATAAGATATCACATACAATATAGATAGTACGATAGAATGAATGGTAGAATGTAAACAAAGCTCCTTCCATTTTCAATACCTTATATAATTACATAATTTTCACTTACCATCATACTTAATAGGTGTCAGTCTTGTAATCAGTATATAAAAGAAGAATCCCATGAAGATAAAGCCTATGAAGAATAATGGTAGTAGCAAACCACCAGGAAAGGGAAAAAATTAAAACAAAACTATGTTAGGTACTCTTTCTACAATGCAATTTAAATATCTGACCTACACATACATGGTTAAACTCCTAGAATTTAGATATTATAGCATTTAGAAAGAAAAAAATTATCTAAAAAGCAGGAGAAATTTGTCATTGGGTATAATTATTATTATTAAATAAATATAATATTAAATTATTAACCATAGTTCACACTTTCTTGTATAGAAGAAAATTTCAGTTATTAAATTACTGCTTGTAAATTTCATAGCTCATTTGAATACATTTATATTTTCTACTTAAAGCAAGAATGGTGCTGTTGTCACTCATGTCTGATCTGAAATTGCACATTAAATTTGAACAGTTACATAAGCAAAAACTTTTTAAAACACTATTCCAAAGCAAAATGTGACTTTCATATCTGCCTTAATTCATCCTTTCCTGTTTAGAACAAATAATCATTATCTTCCTCTTTTAAAATACCTGGTAACACAGATAACTTTGTTCCCCACTATTAAGCCTAATCCTGATTATGTAAAATAGACCTCTACCTATTTTTTCAAATTTTCTTACTTGTTATTGGTAATGTCTGTACTGTATGTAACTCAATCTCAACAGATATATAAAATGATAGATATCAACATATACAAACAAAAACCTGGCAATATCTTTGGAACCTTGCTCACTGCTTAACAAGAATTTAATTGCTACATGACAGAATTATATTATACTTTGAGAGATTAAATATTCTTCCCAAGGCTTTCTGCCCAATTAATCAAGAAAAAATACCATAATGAAGGAGAAAAGAGTTTCTATTTAGAACACTTTATTAAGACACATTTAAAGAGCCTTTTTATAATAGATGAGGATTATGTTCACTATATCCTTGATACTCAATCAAAACCCCAGCTGACGAAATGAGCTGGTTTTGTTTTGTTTTGTTTTTTAGTAACTGAAAACATCAGTTACATAAAAGGCAGCCCAAAGAATTCAAATCGATCCAGTGAACACACTTCATACTCCACTCTCTAATCATGTATCACTGTGTGGATTCCAGAGCTCCGGTCAGAGTCTGAACCTCTCAGGACAGAGGAGACATTACAGTTTCTCTGCACATTACAGCCCCACGACCCAATTCAGACAAAATCAAGGCAACCACACATATTTTTAAAAGACATTCTGAATTCCAATTTCAGTTTATCTTTAGTCAACTAGGAGATCTAGTCATTTAAACATTTGCTGCACCAACTGAATTTTATTCCTCTCTTCTTAAGAGGTTGCATTCCACCACTGAGAAGAGGCACGAATAAAAATACAGAGCACACCAGTAAAATCATTACTATGAGAAGCCAGTCCTGGACCTACGCAGAGAGTGGGGAAAGAGCTTACTCTCCTCACAGGTCATCGGTTCTCTAGCAGCATTAAGAGGAGACCACAGGATATGTAAATAGCAGCCACATAGGACGTAATACCTGTTTTCCAGAATCTGTGTCCAAAAAAACAAATGAAGAGGCCAAGCAGGGCAAACAAAGTGAAGAATACTTTGGTAGATACTTTTCCTAAAACATAATGAAAATTAGTGAATAGTACATCCAATTTGATACTGTGTAATTAATTAAAAGAACAAAATCTCCTGAAAAACTCAAGTAAACTGGCAATGATTGTATTCCATAAGTGTATGCTACATCTTTTTGCTATTGTTGTTTTGTTTTTTGTTTTTGTTGTTTTTTGCTATAGGGTGCATGTGCTTGCTTGAAAGAGAACGAGAAATCACCTCCCTAGGGGGGATGGCCACATACTAATCCCTTCTCCTCCACCTCCTCTCAGGGTTTGGGCACAAATGCACACAGCCAACATATTTTCCTCGTTGCTGGTCTAGGACTTGAACCACACAAACATGTGGGATCCAGCCACCTTAACCAGCATGCCACCTATCCAGCCCAGGGTCTGGTACACATTTATCTTAAAAATACCCTTCTTAGGGCTGACAAGTGGCGTGGTGACTCAGGTGCTCAACTCCAACACAGCCAACTGTGGTTCAAGTTCCACAGTTGAACCGGTGGCTTGCTTTCTCACTTTCTTTCTCTGGTGAGCTCGCATGCCCTGTAGCAAATTTAAAAATAATAATAAAGATAAACAACAACAACAAAACAACCTTCTCACACCTAATGAATTCAGCTGTGTAGGCAATGAACAATAATGGCTGCTGCTCTAACAAAAAGAACACCAGACAATTTATCCTTGTTGACTGAGGTATATGAGGGGACTTCAAAGTTTGTGCAATTAGGGGCCAGACGGTGTTCACGATCTGGGGTTGGCTGAGGCTGTGGATGGATTGAGGCATAAAGACCTGGTTAGGGGTGCCTTGTCTCTTCTCTCTCTCCACACTCCCTCTCTCTTATGAATAAGAAAAAGAAATAAAATTTTTAAAAGATCAATAAAAATTAAAAAACAGAATTAAGTCTGAGTTTATTTTGGTGTAAAAATATTTTGAAGTTCATGTAGTTCTTTCACAATACGCATTTTCCAAGAACTTTTGGAAGAGCCCTCAAACCATACTGCCTATGACATATTCTTAGGGGACAGGATGGAACAGTAAAGAGAACCAGAAAGCGTGCCAAAAACAGAATTCTGTTTCTTCAAAAAATAAATTGAGGGATCAGCAGATGGCATAGCGGTTATGTCACTGGACTCCCACACAGCTGACCATGGTTCAAGTCCCAGACCTGGTGGCTTGACAATCATGCCAGGCTCATGTGTATGCATGCCCAAGATCCCAGGAAGAGAACAGAGAAGAAGGGATTACAGCATGGCCATTCCCCCAGGCAGTGATTTCTCACTTTCCCTCTCACTGTCTCTGTCTCTCTCTCTCTCTCTCTCTGGCAAGCACACATGCTTGTGGCAAAAACCTCTAAAAATAATAATAATAATTTGAAAGGAAGAAGGGGCTGAAACTATGGATTAAGAGATTTAAGAGACATATCAAGTAAAAACAACATATAGACTTCATCTGAAACTTGATCCAACAAACTCGAAAACAACTGAGATGACTGGGAAAATATAAATTCTGGATGCTAATCTGATGCTATTAAGAAATTATTTTATACATACACAAACACGTACAGAGATATTTTTGTATGATAAAGTGCATGTATGCACACAAGTGTGTGTGCGCACACAAAAAGAGAAAGTCAACTGGGCCCCATCATGCAGGCACCTGGCATATTTTCAAACCAACTCCAGGATCTGAACCTGTGGTCAACCATGTGGCTTCCAGCACTGCAGTAGTACACTATGGACTATGCCCCCAGACGGGCCTATTTTCACTAATTTTTATTGAAAAGTGTGTTAATGATACTGCGATTTTATTTTTAGAAACAGAGCTTATCTTTAAGATAAACATACTGAAACATCTGTGAGTAAAATGACGATCAGGGATTGACTTCAAAATCACCCAGTGATGGGGTGGGTGAACATGTGCCATGATGTTTAAGGCGACAGACTCCCTCCCACATGACTGACCACACTTCAAGTCCCAGATCTGGTGGCTTACTTTAGCACTTTCCTTCTCTCTCCCCCTCTGGTCAAATTTTAATTAATTAAATAATTGAAAATTCTTTTTAAAAAATTATCTAGTGGTAAAAGACAGTGGAAAGATAGAGAAGTAGGCATGTTCACAACTGAAACAAGATAATAGCCATGAAAAGTGAGAAATCCCTTCTCCTTAACAATCAAAATTGTTAAGGCTAGATGACCGATACATAGGCTCATGCAAGTTTTCCACAACACAAAATTTAAACCAATTAAATATAAATACTTACTGAAGAGAAAAACATGCTCACTAAGATACAGCTTACTAAAGAAAAAAACATAAATTCACCAGTATCATGACTCCTTTGAAATAAACACAAGAAAATAACTAAAAACGAGAACAAAACACCTACATGATATGGTGTGAAAAATGTCACAAATCAAGATACATCAAAATGCTTAAGTGGGTCAGTCCAACAGGGCACTGGTTAAAGGCTATGTAGACGAGACCAGATCCCACATGGTTGACCAGAGTTCTAATGGCAGCTCTGCAGCTTATACACTGGGTATGCACGTGCCTAGCATCCTGATGAGACAAAGAACCAGGAAGAGGGAGGATTGCAGCATGACCATACCCTATTGAGGGGTTCTTTCTTTCTTTCTTACTGTATTTCTCAAGGATCTTGAGTGTGGAGGCAGTGGACGACTGGATGGTGACAGTCTTTGTTTAACCAGCCTTCAGTTAGGCTTCCAGACCTTCTCCTAGGCCCATTTATACACATTCTTGCAAAATACAGCTTCAGCAAGAACCATACATCCTTGTAAAACTCAGTTTCAGCAAGAACCCTTCCACCTGCAGTATCTGACCACCCTCCATATCTGCTTGGGCTTCTCATGCTGCATACCCATTGCCCAGGAGATGTCTGGGCACCCTGGCCTATCTTCAGCAAGAATCCTATTAGGTCGGGTTAGCCAGAACCTCCCCTACCCCTGATGTTTTCTCATAGGAATTTTCCATCCACTGAACCTCAATACTACTCCTTTGGTTTTAAAATTTCCTCTCAATCATACTGTATTCAGAGTTAGCCCAATCTCTTTCCCCTCCTGCAAAATCTCATCACAGTGGTCCACACGCCTATTGCAAGAATATTAAACAGCTAGTGAATCTGGATAATGCCTATCTGATTAGATAACAGTATCATATCGATGCTAATTTTGTGTGTGATTTTGATCATTTTATAACGGTTACATAAGGAAATAAATAGAAGTATTTATGGGCAAAAGGTCTTTGGGACTTTACTCTCAAATGATTTGAGAAGACAAAGGGTGATCTGTGTATATGTACACATCTATAAGTACACACAGAGAAAAGAAGAGAGAACGAAAAGCTAAGGGCACAACGTGTTCTGGGTAAAGATTATAAAGACAATTTTTGTTTTGTTCATTTTTGCTTTTGCTGTAGAGAGACAGAGAGAGGAAACATGAGAAATCACCCCTCAGGAGGAATGGCCATACTCCAATCCCTTTTCCTCCATTATCCTCTCAGAGTTTTGGACACACACATACACACACATACACATACACACACACACACACACACACACACACACAGCGTGATTTTCAAGCCACCAGGTCCGGGACTCAAACTGCAATCAGTCATGTAGCAGTCTAGTACTTTAACTATCATGCCACATGCTGGCCCCTATGAAAAAAAAAAATTGGTACTTTTTTTGGCATTCTATGAACCTATTTCTTAATAAAATGTTAAATAAACACACACACATTTCACAACACCTTCACTGCCATCATTCTATCTCAACCACTGTCATCTCACATGGGTTACTTCAATGGCTTTCTAACCAACTGTCCTTTTTCTGCTCTAGTTCCCCTACCTCTTTTCTCAAAAAGCAACCAGTGGTCTCAGTAAAATTCATGTCAGATTATGCCACTGACCTTCCCAGGCCTTTCTGTGCCATTCAGACTCAGAATGAGTAAGCTAAGGCCCACACTATGGGCCACAAGGCAGCAGCAAACTGCCGGCCCAGGCCCTTCTCACTGTGCCCCACTCCTCTCGTCCTCCCCACCCTTCGCCAGCCACTGTCCTCACTGCTCCCAGCTGCAGGCCTTGGCCTGGCCATTCCCTCTGCCTGGCATGCACTTTCTCAGATAAGTGCACACTCCCTCCCTCACCTCAGCTCTTCCTTCTCAGCAAAGCCTCCCCTTGCCATGCAAGCTCAAGGTTTTCTCTCACCATCTTGCATCATCTCCCTTTCCAATTTCACTTTTCTTCTTAGCACTTTATACCATCCTCTATATTATGTATTTTACAAATCCACCTTGTCTGTCCCTTCTTCACTACTCAAATAGAAGTTCCAAAAGGGCAAGTATGGCAGCGGTTTTGTTCACTGCTATATCATAGGGCCTAGACTAGAGGGTGGAATTAGGTAAGGACTCAAAAACTTCAAGGGCCAGCCCCATAGCCTTATGGTTAAGGGAGCCTGGACCCCTCATGGCCAACTGTGGTTCAAATCCTGACCCTGAGTAGCTTGAAAAACACACTAGGCTCATATATACATGCATACCTCAAATCCCAACAGGATGGAGAAAAGGGATTGAGGCATGATCAGACCCCATTAGGGGGTGCTTTCTCACTCTCACTCTCCTTGTCTCTGTTTCTGATGAGTGCATGCACCCTCTGACAGTATTTCAAAATAAAGGCATTTGTTGATTAAATAAATGAAAACTAGACAAAAAGCATTTTTGAATATTTATAAGTTCTATATTAGTGGACATAGATCTGCAAAGTCAAAGAAAATTTTAAATCAAATTTTAAAGTCAAAATTTAAATCTAGAAACATACTCACCAAGGGAGGCACAATTGCCCTCCTTGGCCTCAAAGTTGCAGGCATATGTGTGAGCTGGAACATAAGCAGCAGATGTGTTTAGAAACGGGTCCCAAACGATGACATTATAAATGACACCTTGTCCTCCCAGGGAGGAGAAAGAAACACTTGTCTTATCATCAGCAGTTAGGGTGACCACCTAAATCCAAAAGCAAGCCAAGGTTAGCGTTTAGATTTTTTAAAAAGTTATTCTCTTATAATCCCAACCATTATAATATTATAAATTATAATATTATAGTTCTTATTTAAAATATATACCAATCCATTTAGCTTTGTCAAAAGACCATCCTACAGTTTGCATATGCTAATATAAACAAATTATTATACAAAATGTTTCTGAAGTTTTCACATTGTGTTTAACAGTAATAGTTTAAGTAAAATATGATATAAGTAATGTGTAAATGAGACCATCAGGCTGTGGGTGATAAAGCATTAGAGTCCCACATGGCTGACGGACCACCAGTTCAAGTCCCAGACCCGGTGGCTTGAAAATCATGGTCGGTGCATGTGCACGTATGCCCAAAAACCTGAGAGAGGAATGAAGAGGGGACTGCAGTGTGGCCATCCTCTCTGGGGAGTGATTTCTCACTTTCCCTCTCTCTCTCTCTGGTGAGTACACATGCTCTCTATAGCAAAAACTGGGAGGGAAAATGTGTAAATAATAGGAAAAAGTAAAAGTAATTTTTCTCATCCACATAAGGGCAGGCATTTTTATACTGCCCATTCTTTCCTCACACTTAGCACAATGCCTGGCACAGAGTAAGTGTTCCGCAAAGGTAAGCTCTTACTCCTTGCTAGAGAGCTAGTGTAGACAGTCCATTAACATCTCAGAGAGTTCCCATCTGTTTTTGTCCAACAGGCTCGGAGATAAGAAACGACATGGTTTTGTTATCCAGGAGGTTTAACATTTCCTTCCTGAACTTTTTTTTTTTTTTGAGTTTTTTTTTCTATAGGGCATGTGCACTCACCAGAAAGACAGAGAGTGACAGAGAGGAAAAGCGAGAAATCACCCCCTCAGGGGGGATGGCCACACCACAATCCCTTCTCTTCCATTCTCCTCTCAGGATCTTGGGCACACACATGCAACTGGCGTGAGTTTAAGCCACCGGGCCCAAGACTTGAACCATGGTCGACTACATGGGAGTTCAGCAACATAGCCATTACGCTAACTGCTGGTCCCCCTCCTAAACTATTAACACATACATTAAAGAAGAAACAAAAGTCCTATACAACCACAATACAAGTATGTTCCTACTACTGTAAGTGAGAAAATTAAATATTAAAATTTCAGGGCCAACAGGTGACCACGGTTACGGTGCTAGACTCACGTGGCTGACCGCAGTTCGAGTACCTGGCAGCTTAAAAATCATGTTAGGTACGTGTACAGGCATGCCCAAAGTCCCAGGAATAGAATGAAGGAGAAGGGATTAATCACCCAAGGAAGTGATTTCTCATTTTTTTTCTCTCATTGTCTATTTCTCTCTGGCAAGTGTATGCACTCTATGGCAAAAACCTAAAATTAAAAATAATAATATTAGAGTTTCAGAAATAAAAAATTCTGATTATTTAATTCTGTTGATTTTTATTTTTCAATACTGACTACCATGGTTTAAAAATAATGTTAAAGGGGCTGGCAGGTGGCATGGTGGTTAAGGGCACTGGACACCCACAGAGCCGACGGTGGTTCAAGCTCGCACCTGGTAGCCTGTCTTCTCACTTTCTCTCTCTCTCTCGCTCTGTCTCTCTCTGGTCAAATTAAAATAAATAAATGAATATAGTTAAATTAAATAATTCTTTTTTAAAAATGCTTAAAGCAGGTGGCCTCCTGGTTAAGACAGCTGGATCCCACATGGCTGAACACGTGGTTTGAGTGCTGGACCCAGTAGCATGAAAAAGCTACCAGGCACATGTGTGCACATGCCCAGAATCTTAAAAAGGGGGGAGAGATGGAGGAGAAAGGATTGCAGCCTAACTATTCCTCATGGGGGGATGCTTTCTCACATTCCTTCTCTCTGTGTCTCTGTCTCTCTGGTAAAGCACACATACTGTCTGACAAACTATAAAAACAAAAATGTTTATGGGGCCAGCTGCTGCCACAGTGACTAAAGGCGCTGGATTCCCACAGGTATGTCTGACCGCGGTTCAAGTATCAGACCTGGCAGCTTGCTTTCTCCCTTCCTCTCTCTCTCTCTGGTCAAAGTAAATAATAATAATAATAATAACAACAACAACAATAAATGAAATTAAATAAATTCTTTTTTAAAAATATGTTTAGTTAGCAGTTGGTGTAACAGCTATGTCACTGGACTTCCATGTAGTTGACTGCAGTTGGAGTCCTGGACCCGGTGGCTTAAACTCACGCCGGGTGCGTGTGTGTGCGTGCCCAAGATTCCAAGAGGATAATGGAGAAGGGATTGCGGCATGGCCATCCCCCCTGGGGAGTGATTTCTCGCTTTCTGTCTCTCTGTCTCTGTCTTTCTGGCAAGCACACGTGTCCTATAGCAAAAATCTCTCAAAAAAAAAAAGTTTAGTTTTCAAAAACATGTTTTATCCACAAATGACTGGTCACACTTAACAAAATGCTGATGTTAGGCCGGAGTCTTGGGCAGCTTGAATGTGGGGGGTGGACGCCACACCACGGTTAGCTAATGCAACCCAGATCTAGTCCGTTATCAGAAGTGCACTGCACTCAGATCTAACCCGGACGTAGCACATGCGCTCAGAGGTGTTCTACTCTGCACACGTCACCAAACCTATGTGGCACAGTAGTTTGCTCTCCCCCTAAACCTTTAACATACATGGACTGTTTCTACCTCTAAGACACTCCCCCTCCCCTTACCCTAATAAAAATCGCTAAACCCCACCTAGCGCATGACTTCTGTGGCCCGTCTCCCTCTCTCTCCCTTTCTGTTGGACCAGCTAACCAGACTGGGAGCGCTCCCAATAAAGGCTGGCCATTTCTATTTTCTAGTGTGGTGGGCCCATTCTTTACAGCTAATATTACCAGCTACTCCCTTGTTTTTATCAGGGAAAGTTTACTACAAAGTTACAAGAAAAAAATAAACTGTGTATCACATTTAGACTCATGTTAAAATTTTGCCAGATTTGTTTCTCTATACCTCCTCCTCTTCCTATTTTTTCCTG